GAATGGATTAACCACAAGACCTTTGCACCTCAATATGATAGGATAGTATGCAACTATATGTAAAGCATCTTAGCCAACAGCACCCCGAAATTGAAGAGCGTCATGCAAAAGTATTCACCATGCAACCAATACGATAGGGCATTGACCTGCAGATCTGATTCGCTATGGAGCACGATGAACCCTACATAAATACGTTCGTCCATTTGCCTTCTGCCCACAACAACAAAAGGCATCGTGCTATTTGCTAGCAATTTCCATGCACTTTACACCCGAGAAGAAACGAGAAATGGAATCTACCAATGTCTTCAACGTGCCTTTGAGTGAGACCAACTCAATGGTTGATATTCTGAGAAAGAATGCGGTTGTAGACGACGATGATATCCTCGCCTTCTTTTCATGCACCTCCCTGCCACGCTCGTTGGCTCGTCAGGCACGTTGTATCAAGAACTTCTGTGAAGGTACTCCTTTGATTGAGGATGTTACTGATCAAAAAAACTCCAATGCAACACGTCCATACCATGGACAATATCCCATAGCCTGGGTATCTGACGCAAATTGGCAACCCAATACTCATGATAGTAGCATTGGGGATTCTCACAATCCATATGGACAGATACTCAGCAACAAAGAGCTTTGTGCCATCCTGAAAACAAGTGTATGTATATGTACGTCCCATTTATGTAGGACCCTGAATCCTTGACTAATGTCTTCGTCACTTGAAGAGAGCTTTCAAGACGAGCGACAATATCAGCACTGGACCACCGCGAAGGATGTAAGTAATGCTTCTAGCACTTCCTCAATATCTTTACTAAACCTGAAGCTACATTAATAAACCCAATGGGCGGAGTGTCTTGGCTCTGATCAGGACGGCGCCCCCTTCTCAAGTACCTGGCCTGCGGGAGCTGTTGGCGAATTATATAACCGGAAGCCCAAAGCCAATCATGAGCTCAAGAGAGATTGTAAGTGACCTTTGTGATGCCCTCGATCCTCAACCCACGAGGAAATGTCTTGTCTAATACGATATCGATGCCAAAGTTTTGGTGGGGTTCGAAGTCTTTCATCTTCTCCTTTAACCTTCCGTTCTTTGCTATAAGTGCTCAAAGCAGGCAAGACATTCGGTCATTTTCCCATGGGAAATTACGGCTTCGATCCTGCTACGATCTTTCTTTCCTCCACCTCGGAGCGTCTGAAACCGACTCGTACTTTTCTGAGGAGACTGATCCTCCAGATCATGACATATCCCTTGTCGAGGGCGTCTGTTCGGTTGTTGTAACTGGGCAGAGCACGCAATATTGGACTGCCGTTTGTCTTAATGACGACCTCTACGATGGTATAGACGAGCCTAGACTTTCACCCGAGGATGATATGGAACAATTTGATGAAGTAGACCCTATTGTGTTGAAGATGGGAAAAGGCCCCAAGTCCCCTCGGGCTTACGCACTCGCAGCACTGGCAACTGGTCTAGTGAAGGTGGCGGATTGCCACAAAGACATCCAAGATGCTTTTCAAACCAGCTTCAATTTACATGTAAGCCCCCTATTAACCTGACAAAAGAGCCAGGTTCTTCAGGACCAACTGTGGGACATTTTGGTATGAGCGTGCGTGTTTCTCTAATATCTTGATCTAGGTCCCTTCGTCAGAACACAGCTCGTCTGGTGATATTTCTCCAAGTCAGGTACAGGAGTGGGATAAGAAATACCCAGAGGCTCTTGGGAGGGTGATATATTATAACCAACGAATTGTTGAAAGACTAGAGCACTTCTTATCGCATCACCTCATGGTCTGCCCTCAAGGTTTACCCCAACATAAGCTGTGGCTGAACGTAAACGTGGAGGAGCGTGCGACGCAATCTCTGATCGACATTACGGACAGCCTTGAGAGCCTACGAGATGTTCATAGCGAGCTCACCCAACTGTTCAAGTCACTGAATGAGGTAAGTGGCAAGCTTGACTCACACACAGGATGCCCTGACCTTGGCTACTCTCTTCTCCCTTTTCGCGGCCTTCGCCCCCTCCTCTCTTTTCTTTTTCTTTTTCTTTTGCTGCAAGCAAACTGATAGGTGATTCATAAGAAACTAAGGCAAGAGGATAGACAAAGGAGCAAGGATATAAACCTCCACAGGGTGACTCTTGCTGCACTTGTTAGTTCGCCTCTCATTCTTGCAGCAGAGACCTGCTAATCGTAATCCTACCTAGGCCACAACCATTTTGAATCTGTTTCATCGGACAGATTCTAGATTGGAGTATTTGTTCTGGATTGTTTTCATTGCGTGTTTAATCCCATGGCTACTCCTTCCAACTATCATTCCTCAACACCCGGCACGAAGTGGCGAAAGCCAGCTCAGTAGTAGATCAAACTCATGCCGAGCCTCCCAGAGGCAAAGAAACTGGAGAAGCTGTCTGCTGGGCTTAATCGACAAGGCTTCAATTGTGACGCGAGATCGGTTGAGGCTTGAACAGTTTGTAGCGCTACTGAGAAAAGCAACGAAAGATCGCAGTAACACAAGAGATAGGTTGCCGGAGTAAGGGTGGTCCAAAACTGGCGTTTCAGGCTATTGATATTAGCGTGCAAACATTTATGGAGGCTTTCAGGATATGAAGCTGAAAGAAAGAGGGAGTGTATGTTGAGATGTTCCAAACTGTATATGATTCCGCGATATCGAGTCAGGGGCCTGGGTAGCACCATGTCACTGCCCGCTATATAGCCGTCGGCACCTTGCTCATCTGGGTTCAAAAAAAGCTGAGATAGCACTTCTTCGAGTTTCTTTTTCAATAAGTGTTTGGTAATGCCATCGCACTTAAAAATGACCCCCGGCTTCTGGCGTATACCACTATGCGAGTCTCAGTTATCACGACGTCTCACCATGCCACCCCCCAAGCCCGAATTGATCCCCCTGGTGATGATTCTGACCTGTCAGGAATGGGCTTGATGAGTGCTCGATTACCGGACGTCAATTTTTGGCACAGTCTCTGTTCTTCTCATGTTATATCAGGATGCTGTTATGATGGCTCCTTTTGTTTCTTCATAAATTGGAAGTAGCGGAAGCACTCTTAAAACTTATCTAGGTATGAAGCTACCAGTACTACTCACTGGCTAGGATTGGCTTAGGTAACTTGACAGGGACCTGCTTGGTTTACCTGCCGCGGCGACGGGCGATGGGCAAAGTCTGGATGAATCTAATATAGCACGGACTGTTGAACAAGGCTTTCGCCCTTCCCGTGAGTCGTGTAGCCTCACTAAGGTATTTCACGATGACACCAGTGCCATTGAACATGAACAACCCTCGGTCTTGTATGACTTATAGGCACAGCCGAAAGAGCCAATTGGTATCATTATTGAGCGATCTGTGTGTACCTTACATAGCGGCGACTGTTCCTGCAGATCTAGTCTATCTCTTACATGTGAATGGTCTATTTCTTACAAACGGGTCCCACCAAATTTGTGACACTTCCTTTTTCTACATCAAGATGCGAAACCCGCGTTGGTTTATCGCTAATAAACCCGAAATTAGATGACCGCAGAATCCTAGTAGTTGATTGCTAATATTTCAAGTACGGTATCCTCTGTACCATCCTAATATTTATAGTTTAAATACGATGGCAATGCGCGTCTAGGTATCATAAAAAGGGGTAATTGGAATGGTATCTCATTTAACCCTTGATTGGTATCGGCTCAGCACTCAGCAAAAAGTCCTGTAGTCTTCTCGCTCCTCATTATTACATGGCTTCTTCAAGTTTTATGTTAGGGAAACCAGCTATTCTGTATCGATACCAGAGAAGGCAAAGCTCTGATAACGTAAGCTAACACGGAATATGCTGTCCTGACGGGAGCTGACGCCAATCATCGCAGACTAAGGTCCCTTGAGCTGTCGCCCCTTAGAAAATGAGGACAGCGTCTTCTGATAGCGGTTGGCCGCAAGATATCAAAGGTAAGTTGTACCAATATACTGCTTTGGCTCCCAGTATCGGTACCTGAAGGCTCCCGAGACGCTAATTCAAAAGACTGATCCGCAGATTCTGAAGCTGCCGAAGCCGCCGGTCTTGTACCTATCAACCAGCTCCCGCCTAGACGAAAAGTGGTGTGGGTTTGGGTTTGTGTGCGTCTCCTACACTGATTGAACAGTAATGAATTGTCAGCTAACAACTCCAGTGCCAATGTGGGACAAGCGGGATGAAGGTTAGCGTTGACCCTTGTCCCTGTTGCGGTAACTATAGATGTCCAAACTGCGCGACCAGACGCTTTGGTTAAGGCGAATATTAATGCCACTGGCATAGCTCACCAGAGTGAGGGAACTTGATAGAGATGGTGATGGTGGCTCATCATGGAAAAGTTGGGGAGTTGTTTGTAAGATATATGTTTCGGACGCTAAGATGGTTATCCTAATTTGTGTGGGGCCCCAGTTAGAGATAGAGATTTAGACTGTAACAATACCTACTTTCTAACCTGTTCGAATGTTAGTGGACGTCTGCTATATATGGTGTCTGAAGAACCAGGTTGACCCCTGCAAACTAGTAAGTTAAGGTTCGAGGCAATGTGTAAGAAATTCACATATAAATGCAAGGTAGGGAAAATCATGGCGAGTAGTGTTACCAGATGCAAAGGTTCTGTTACTGACGCTCAGCTGTTAGTAGTTAGCTCTCGCTAAAGACTAGACCAGGATGTGACAACTCAAAAGAATGAGTCGAGCCAGTCTCAATCAACTCACGATTCAAATAGAGTAGTTCGAAAGAGTAATACATCCTTATAGCGGGTGGAATTTTTAAAGTCGGTGAGAAAGAGCCTCAGAATCCAGAGACTAACGTTGTAACATAAAATGTCGGTGGGTTGAAAGCTGAAAAGGTGGGCTGTGTGTGCTTGAGTTGGTTGGTGGACAGGATGCCAAAAGATGAAGCATTAAGAGGCCATCACTTTTGTCGAAATATTCTAGAACCTCCCGCCCAAGTCCGTGGCTGTGATGCGGCACAGTCCTGACTGTGTGCCTTTCAACAGGTCTGGCTAATATGAAGCTAATGCAAAAGGCTGCGATGCTCAATCCTGCGTCATTAGGCGGCTCTTTCACGTTGCCTTATGAGATCTATCATCGCACCTTGGTGTAGGTATATCATAAATTCCTTTACTGAATTCAAAAGTTTCCGGTTTTGCACTTTGTTCCAAGGAAGTGGTTGCAACGGGTGAAGTAGGATGTGAGCCCAATCCTAATAATGTATGTTGAAGTTAGGCGCTGCACTCATCGATCGTGTACTCACCTGCAGATATTGTCTGGCCTCTCCCGGAGCTCCTCCTTATAAACTCTGTATATATCTACTTCTCTAATAGCACACTTACTTCTAACGATCTTACCTTTGGCTCAAAGAACTCAAGTAAAAGAAGGAAAGGATCATGCTCTCTCAGGATACTTGCTGAACTAGGTATGACTTCAACGATTGAGAGGGTGCCGCAAAAGGCAAATTCTCGGAAAGGCCGCAGTTTTCTTGGATTCGACTACCTTGGGCGTTTTACATCTGCCACTTACGAACTTGTGGTGACTGCTGCCTCCGACTGGGCAGACAAGTATGAGTGGGGGAAGCGTTTTGGGCACAGGGTCAGGATCAGAGTTTCCGAAGAAAACAGGCCCTTTATCGATGTTTTCAGAGAAACTTATGAAGACGAGGAAGACGAGGAAACAAACGAGGTCGTTGCCTTTATGCTCCGCTATCCGAGCTCCCCTCGATGGGAAGACAGACTTACACAGGTTTCGGAATTCTGTCAAGGCGCAGACTTTGTTATCGTCAACTTCATCCCCGACGACCCGAACAACCCTCGCTTGAAGGACGCACAAGAACCTAGAGCGTGGATCTTCGACTGTCACTTGAATCCTCAGATACCGGTTCCCACAAACCCTCTCCACGACCGCCTCCTGACCAACATGGAGTTCCATGAGGCACTGAAGCAAGAGGTAGACAAACTATATCCAATCACCATCAACGATATGCAGAAGCTTGAGACTGACGACAGCACGAAATTAGCGTTTTAGCCAAGATTCAGAGCAGGAGATTATTGGAAATACTCGTCGAATGTAAGCCATACATAAAACTCACATTCTTAGTCTCAGCACTGACTCTCTCAAGATATATAAGCAACCCTAACGGAGTCAGTATACTGTCACTACTCAGAAGAACGCCCGCTTCGCAGGTCGAAGGCTTTCGCAAACTATTTGCGAACTATCTAAGTCCAAGCCCAGTCCCCGAGCTGAGCTTGAGGGAAACTGTAAGTGCATTGACCCTGGGTTCTATCAGTGTCACTAATACATTTGCCAAGGATTGGTGGGGGCTTGGGTTTGTTATCGAATGCAACCTACCATATCTTGCCATTAGTACCCACGATCGATCGGATACTCGAACTTTGTCCAAGGATAAGAATCTTCGAGCACGAGATGACATAGATTTTCTCAATCTGAATTCCTCGACAACGCCAAGAGATCAACAACAGAGGTCGTGCGTCCCAGACAACGCCGTTCTGCACGTGGCTGTCTTCTCACTTATGATCACGGGTCGCAGTGAACAACATTCGACCACAGTTTGTCTAGACGATGAGTTCTTTGATCAAGAGTCGAGACTGATGAGCGATGAAGAGATCGAAAGCTTAGCCGGGCGCGAAGATCCAATCACTCTCCAACCAGAGTTCAAGAGAGCCCGCTCTCCACGAGCATACCTGCTCGTAGCTCTGGAGGGGCAGCTCGAGCGGATTGTCGATTATCACGCCAACGCACAAGACCGACTCAAGTACAGCACAGAGCTTTATGTAAGTTGTTAGATTGTCCAGCTTCTTCTAAGCACTGAGTTCCTAACTCAGCTACAAGAATACCATTTCCGAAGATCGATCTCCTGCTATGGACCAGTGGATCAAGCGCTTTCCACTGATTCTGAACAAACTAGTTCACTTCAACTCAAGGCTAGCAGAAAAGGTGAATCATTTCCTGACAGACGATTCCATGGTTGGCTCAGATGGAATTCCTTATGGACCATTATGGCAGGGCTTGCAGGCTGAACCCGGAGCCATCAAATCACTGCGCGCAATCAGACGTTATTGCAGTCAGTTGAGGGATATTAACACTGGACTCGAGCATCTCAGAGAGGCTTATGAAGATGTTAGACGCAAGGTAATGTCAACCTGCCATCTTACTTCAAGCTTGGTGTCAACTTTTCCACTTTATTACAGGGACTAACGAGAAATACATTTCAGAGGAAGAACGACTTTGCAGCCGAGCAACAAACAAGAGACCGCACAATCGAGCAGGTTACGATTGCAGCGTTTGTATGTCACCTCGGCATCGAAACTTGTGGCTCATAAAGCTAAAGAGTGATAGGGATTGGCCATCATGAACTTGATTGCCCAAGTCTATACTGGCAAGCCAGGCAACGACGATGCGTCCTCTCGGCCAGCATACATTACTATGGTGGTCAGCTTCGGTGCCATATGCATCAGTGGAATTTTGTGGTTTGTGTTTCGCTACAGATCTCGAAGAGATAGGACAGGATAACGAGCTGTCGCTGCCAGTGCTACCAACGCTTGCCTCCACCCCCGGTCCTCGAATTCACTCGGTGACACGACAAGACGACAGATTTCGGGGCGCAAGTCCCTGGCGGGCGTGTTCTGCGGCTGTGCATCGATTTCGAAGGATTGTTTGGTTAATGAGAAAAGACAAAAAGGACATTACGGAGTAACTTGGCAGTAAGGCAATGTAAATTTCGAATACCCAAAATAAGCAATAGACTAATGATCATTTGACAGTATTCACATGTGGTCATTCTTCGGAAAAGGCGCCTGCATTGGGTTGTTGAAAGTTTCACACCGGAGCCCAGGCTTATGAAAGTTACAAGCGGGCCTCAAAATAGGCAACGAATCACCAGGCCCGGGACTCCTCACCCCTCAGTTGCCTTGTCTTTATCGTCTCATGCATCGGTATCTTTTGTCCCTTGGACCAGGTCTTGGGCAACAAGATCGTCATGTTCGAGATATGACACGTTTCCCGCTGTCAACGAGCATTACACGGCGCGGAACCCCCAGTGCAGCCTGTATCTATCACGACGTGCATGATACACCACTTTGCTCTGAGCCTGTGAGCTGCCAGCCAATTGCCCTCCGAAAGCCTCATTTGCGACAAGACTTGGGTGGCTGCCAGTTCATCACGCAGCTTGACAGCAACAAGCGGCGCAGAAGCAGTTTCAACAAATCATCTTGTCGCTATCAAGATGAGGCTGTGAGCCTATATGAGTCTTGCTGCCCAACTACTTCAGAGCCCTCGCTTGAAATGGCTTCAACTGCGCTCGTTTATCAGTCCAACCGGCTACTTTTATAAGGCAATCAAAAAGTTGACAGCTGATTCATTGTTCTCGGTCCTCAACACCATTTCAACACTATCGTGGCTATGCCAGCGACAACTTGCTCTGTTAGTGGTATAGAAACACTGCTAGGGAAGGTAGGGCTGGACACTCCAGTACCGGACTTCCCCGATGCAGATATTGTGCATAACCCGCAGGACATCTTTCGTGTCTACCTTGCCGACACCCTACAGAAGCTGGTCAACTGCGATAGGCTGGTAGCCTACGATGCGATACAGACCTCGAACATCACAGGAATGGGCGATCTCATTATTGTGGCTCCTAGACTTAGACTGAAAGGGGTCAAGCCTGAGGAGCTGGCAAAAGATCTTCTTCAAAAAGTACGATGACTTGGGTCGAGCATGATCAGCTTCACTGACAGGTATACAACATAGTTGCCAAGAACACCCCCCTTTGGATGTCCCCTTCTCGACGGCATCCGCCTGCAGGTCTTCTTTTCACCCAATACACTGTCTCGGCTCCTTCTCTCGTACATCAGTGATAGGTCTTCGTCCTACGGTTATGACACGTCGCTCGGCCTCGTCGATCCTACATCTACTGATGGACAGAAGAAGAAGGTGATCGTGGAGTTCTCGTCTCCGAACATGGCGAGTGAGTTCCAAGTGTCACACTTGAGGAGCACACTGATCGGCACATACATCGCAAATATTCACTCTAGTATGGGGTGGGAAGTTGTCAAGATGAACTACCTCGGCGACTGGGGGAAACAGATCGGCCTCCTTGCTGCTGGATGGCAGAGATTTGGTTCCGAAGAGGAGTTTGAAAAACAGCCGCTCCGCCATCTTCTCGAAGTCAACCACAAGATTCAGGATCTATTCAAACCAGAATTGGAAGAATGCAAGACTGCCAAAGCGAACAAGCAGGATGTCACAGATATAGAGTCAAGAGGCCTGTATGCCGAGCGAGACGCCTTCTTCAAGAAGATGGAGGACAGTGACCCAGAAGCCATCGCATTGTGGCAACGTTTCCGCGATGCAACCGTCAAAGACTACCCAGAATCGTACGCACAGCTGGGGGTAACGTTTGATGAGTACTCTGGAGAGTCACAGGTCACTGCCGAGTCAATCGCAGAGGTCGAACAAATTCTCAAAGACAAGGGAATCTATGAAGAGCATGACGACTCTTTCATGATCGACTTTTCGAAGCACGATGTAAGAGGACTTTCACTTGCAGTGCTACGCTACCGAAATGGGACGACTTCCTATTTGTTACGCGATCTTGCAGCAGTTTTTGACCGATACAAGAAACACAAGTTTGACAAGATGATCTATGTCGTTGCGATGGAGCAAGAAATGCACTTCCACCGAGTTACCAAGACTCTTGAGCTCATGGGAAGACAAGATCTCGCTGAGCGCATTCAGCATGTTTCTTTTGCCAAGATTAATGGACTTCCGGAAGAGCTGAAGGGTGCAGAGCTTCTGAGTGACTACCTTGGCAGATGTCGCTCAATGGCGCAGACTAGTCTTGACGAGGAGGAGGAAACGTCCCATGTGGACAAGTCCGAGAATTCAGCGAGACAACTCAGCCTTGCTGGTCTTTTCATTCAGGACCACTACCACAAGAGGAATACCTCTTATGCAGTCGATCCCAAGAAGTCGTTGTCCCTCGAAGGAGAGACAGGGGCGGCTATCCAGAACTGCTATGCCAGGTTATTGAAGAAGCTAGAATCCGGACCGGGCAGCTTTGACTACGCAACACTTGACCATACTTCGTTGGAAACAGAAGACTATGCTGAGCTTCTACGGATCCTGTTGCAGTATCCAGATGCAGCCCATGGCTCTTTCAGAACTCTTGAACCGTCCTTTATTGTTGTATACTTGCTCCGAATTGTTGATCAGCTAACAGCCACGCTTGATGATGACGATGAGAAAGATTGGACAGGCCTCGATGCAGCTAGTGAGGCGAGATATGCCCTCTACGAGAACGCAAGACAGGTGTTTGAGAATGCGCTGAGACTTCTTGGTGTATCACCGTGGAGTGCGTAGGGGCTTCAAGACAGTAGAGGTTGTTGATACCAGTCGTGGTCTGTATGTTTTGATCTTTTGCCCATGTTTTTCCATTAGGTACTGCAAGTTTGGCGTTTATTTTGGGGTTTCCCTCCAGATTGGATCTGTCTGGTTTAGATATTGCTCTTGAGTTCGATGAAATCTATGATGAATAAAAAGGCCTTCTGAGTTAACATACACACGAAACGATTCAAGTAAACATACGAGTCCTCGAACAAAGAAGAGTATCTAGCAAACCCGGTCTATTGTGTTGATCCAAACTCACTTCCCATGCAAAGATCATGATGAGGAGAATCTTCTAGATAACATGTTCCTTGTTTGTTTTAATTGAATTGCCTACCCTGGAACTTGGAGGTCATCATAAGGGTCCTCGTAGGCGCGGGGCGGGGCAGCTGGAGCTCCACCCAATGGGAAGCTCCCTGCATAGACTTGCATCGAATGAGCTAGAAGGCATCCATGGCCCTCTTCTTCCCCACCAAAGATCGTCTGGGGCGACTCTCTCATATTTCATCGTCTAGTAACTTTGACTCTTTGATACCACAGACTCGATATTCAGACCAGAACTGTTGTTTAATAGTTATAACCCTCAGATTCTGCTAATTCTCACACGAAATGGCTTCCGCGGACGAGCTCAAGGCTCTAGGTAACAAGGCCATCGCCGAGAAGAACTTCGATGAGGCTGTGTAGGTTACCTCCAGTAACAATAGCACAACGGAATATCGGGGTTGCTAACTACGACACAGCGCAAAGTTCACCGAGGCTATTGCCATTCAGCCCGATAACCACATTCTATACAGCAACCGATCTGCTGCTTATGCTTCAAAGAAGGATTGGGAAAATGCTCTGAAGGATGCTGAGAAGACCACCGAGATCAAGCCTGACTGGGCCAAGGGTTGGGGACGTAAGGGTGCTGCTTTGCACGGACAGGGCGACCTCCTAGGCGCCAATGATGCATATGAGGAGGGATTGAAGCTCGATGCCAACAACGCCCAGCTCAAGAGTGGTTTGGCTTCAGTCAAGAAGGCCATGGAGGCCGAAGTTGGTAAGCAATACATCTACAAATTACACAATTTATAGCAACTGACACTTCTACAGGAGGACCTCAAGATCCTAGCGGTGGCCTCGGCCAAATGTTCAACGACCCTCAGTTGATCCAGAAGCTCGCCTCAAACCCCAAGACCAGCGGTTACCTCGCCGACCCCTCATTCATGGCCAAGCTCCAATCGATCAAGAGCAACCCTTCAAATGCGACCGAGATGTTCAGCGACCCCCGCCTGTTGACAGTCATGGGTGTGTTGATGGGTGTTGATTTGGAGATGCGCGAGCGCGAAGTCGACCCCAACGCTGAATCTCAGGACTCTCCCATGCCTGATGCCCCACCAGCCCCCAAGCAGCCCGAGCCCAAGAAGGCCCCCGAGCCTGAACCTGAGCCCGAGCTGGACGAGGAGGCTCTCGAGAAGAAGAAAAAGAAGGAAGAGGCCGACAAGGAGAAGGCTCTGGGTACCGAGCACTACAAGAAGCGCAACTTTGACGAGGCTATTGCACACTACACCAAGGCCTGGGAGACCTTCAAAGATATCACTTACCTAAACAACTTGGGAGCTGCTTATTTCGAGAAGGGTGACTACGACAAGGCCATTGAAGCCTGCACCAAGGCTGTTGAGGAGGGACGTGAGATCTACGCTGACTTCAAGCTCATTGCCAAGAGTTACGCCCGTATCGGTACATCTTATGAGCGCAAGGGAGACTTGGAGAAGGCTATTGAGAACTACAACAAGTCCCTTACCGAGCACCGAACTCCTGATGTCCTCAACAAGCTTCGCTCTGCTGAGCGTGCCAAGACTGAGGCTGGTAAGAAGGCCTACATCGACCCTGCCAAGGCTGAGGAGGCCCGTGAGGAGGGTAACAAGAAGTTCAAGGAAATGGACTTCCCTGGCGCCGTTGCTGCCTACACAGAGATGACCAAGCGAGCTCCTGATGACCCTCGTGGTTACAGCAACCGAGCTGCTGCCTTTGTCAAGCTCTTCGAGTTCCCTAGTGCTCTCGAGGACTGTGACACGGCTATCAAGAAGGACCCTACCTTCATCCGAGCTTACATCCGCAAGGCCCAGGCCTACTTCGGCATGCGCAAGTACTCAGAATGTGTGGACGCCTGCACTGAGGCCCAGCGCGTTGACCAGGAGTACCACAACGGTGCCAATGCTCGCGAGATCGAGCAACAGCAACAGAAGGCTCTCTCGGCCATGTACTCTGCCCGTGATAATGAGACGGAAGAGCAGACCCGAGAGCGTTTGATGAAGGATCCCGAGGTAAGATTACCCACCGCTACTCAATGGCTGAAACGTTTACTGACATTTTTTAGATCATGGGACTCATGCAAGACCCCGTGATGCAATCGATCCTCCAGCAGGCCCAGTCGGATCCCGCTGCTCTCCAGGAGCATATGAGAAACCCTGGTGTGCGGTCCAAGATCCAGAAGCTGATCGCTGCTGGCGTTATCCGGGTGGGTAGGTAAGCGAAGCGAAGCGAAGCGAAGGAGATGATGGCGACGGTGATGGGTTACAATAGGGAAAATTTGCTTTTTCAGACATGGAATCCCCTATCCAGAATCTCATGGGACGGGGAAGGGATCTGGAGCGTGTGTGATTTTGAGTTGGCAGATTACTTGACGTGTACGAATTAATACGGAGTACCAGGATCATTTGCTGGTTGCTAATGAGAAATGAAACTTTTGAAGCAACCTGATACACCTTTTTTGGGATATCATATGTGATGTGTGTTACCAATGGTCAAATGAGATAGGATATCTCGTTGCTGGCCTCGCCGTTTCAACTAACGACACATGGCTGGGAGTTGATATCGTTATTGGACAACTGGGAGGAACTTGGTGTAGTATTGCATGCGTATACTGCCATTATCCGTGTTCAACTCCCGATTCCTTGTTATCTCACAACAGTAAGGACAATGCGAAGCCACTCCGGCGTCCGACGCCAACGCCACACCGGTTCGAATATAGTAACGAATCCCACCAACAACTTCTTCCCAAGAGGACCGAGCAAAGCTGAAGAGAAGAGGGTGTACAGCAACTAAGCAAGCAGCTGAGAAGCATGGAGACACTACACGTGGAGGGCACGAGGTAATGCAGGAACACGGCGAGAAGTGAACGGAACGGGAAGAGAAAGAAACGATGTCTACCACGTTTGACGGTTACAAAGAAAGGAGGTTGATTTTTTCACAATAAGCAAAGTGAGAGCTAAATTTGGCGGAGAAGAAGGTCAGAACGGGAAGAGTTGGACCTGAGTGTGGAAAAAGCAAAGTTGACTCTGAAGCTAACGAATGTCAAGGAGAGAGGAGGGTGTGTGAGACATGGTGAAGAAAGCTAACGGCTCGGCTTGAGGACAAAGGAAACGGGTCGGGTCCGAGACATTGAGAAAAAGAAACAAACAACTTATTCATGTCCACGGACCGGGATATGAAGAGACAGAGAGAAACAAGGTGAACCTGGGATGGAATCAGTTTTGAGTTTCTATGATCTGCAGTACTAAGACGTTTTGCGGAGGGTTTCAGTTTCATCATAACGGTCAAGACAGGCGTTGAACTTTGACATGTTGAAACAATAAAACACTCTATTAAGTTGTTGAGACTTGCTGCTGGAAGTACATGAAGCTCAAGAGAGCAGTGAGGATCCACTAGTGAGCGGTTCAAGCTAGAGTCATTACAAAGCTCGCAACGCCAAGAGCTTATTGCTACTACCAATTACTTTACGAGCATTGACGAAAATATTTTATCTCATGCGTGGCGCCTGTATAATGACGATATTTCCTTTTCCCAGCCGTTTCCGTTATCGTACATCAAATGGCTTTTTAATAGTGGGATGCTCATCTTGTTTGTTTGCGACACTAATGACTCGACCTGCAAACGGATTATGATAACTGACGAACCGAAGACGGCGGCCCGCGATTAGCTTTGGTGTCTTTGCTGTTGTCTCGTTGTGTTGGTGTTCTTCCTTTGGTGCGGCTATGAACTGATGTGGCTGCATAGCTCGCTTGGATATAACAAATAAGAAAAGGAAGAGGCTGACGGGATATGATATTGGTAGCCTTCTATTTGATGATGGAGAAGCTGCAGGATATGAGAACAGACGAGGCTTGTGGGGAAGAGTCTCTTTCGTGCATATTGTATTCGGCCGACGGCGAGATCCATATCTGTATGATGCATGTCTGGCCTATGTGTTCACATGTATGCGAGTGTCTATGCGAGTATCTCAGAGGGGTTATGACGAGAGTCGTCCCTCTCCATATTTTGCAAGATCGTCGATTCACAGATGCCCTGTTCGTCTGCTGGATCTAAGGTTGGAGGATGCCAGAGGCCCGAGAGCAGAGACTAGGGCCATCTCGGACGAATTTGTGAGTGTGAGATGCTGAATCACTAGGATGTTTGGGAGAGAATACGCGAGTGCAACTGTGCAAACGTGCGAGCAACGATCATCTTTGGAGAAGCGAGAGAGAGTTTTCTTAGTCTTTGTGATATATCGTAAAAAAAGATGTCGAGATGGCTGGTATCAAACTGTCTCGGTGCTACGGTAAGAAAAAGAAAGAAAAAAAAAAGGTGCTGCCACTAGAAATGACGAAATTGCCATGATATGATATGATCAGAAGGACTCAATTCAACGTTGACACTTCCGGTTTGAGCACTCTCTAGCTGAAGGACTGACGTTCGTCTTTCACGCGACCAGGCTCTCGTGCCCGTTGGAAAAAGTTTGTGGCAGCAGGGGTTTGTCACTTACAAGGGTATGATAGCCTCCCAGCTAAACCCCGGGCGGTGCCGTCGTACGGTATATACCCCATACCTGGGCAATAAGTGAGCTAGAGCCTAGAGACGCAGGTGTTGATCTATCCAAGGCTGAGAGACAGGATTCGCCGTGTGCCGAGCGAGTTTCATTGTGCCCTTGAACGTTGGTGATCGTCTCTCATCTTTTCCACATTCATTGATGCCAACATGAACATGGACACGGGGTAGGTTACATGGTAGATCTACGGAGTACAGTCTCTAACATATTTATAATGTATGAGTCTTAGTGGATGAGAAGCCACCGCGTACAAGTATGTATGAACTGGACCAAGCGCACCGCTCGCCAAGCAAGACTATAAGAGATTCGACCGTTGAAAGATTTTTCATCTCTTTTTTCTATTAGCAGATCTGGCCGGTGTTGCCGAATTTTTAAGAATACGATAGTGTCCATTGGTTCGGAACTGGAGATTCTGACTGAGCGAGGCCTCATGAATCTTTATGGTGTTCCGTTAAAGCGGAAGAGTGTCCGTCATTTTGTTCTCATCTCGTTAGCTAATATTAGCGAGCTTGAGGTGCAATGGTTCATCCTTTATCCAGCTGGACCTAATACTAATCTAGATCATCGAGGAACGGTTCTTGGCTATGGATATCGGGAATCTTGGGTGCTCTCGTGATGCAGGTACACGTAGCATATCAGATTCGTGGTGTGCAGTTGGTTAGGGATATGGATATGCAGATGCCATGTGTGATTGTAATGGGTGGTAAGAAATTGGGAGATATGTTCTATAACTTGTGATATATCATTGTGATTTCTATCCTTTTGATAAAATAAACTGAATTGCTTCTTTCATTATTATTCTGTTCGAGTGACCCAAATGCATTGCATGCGTCACTGCAATTCAGTACTGTTAACTAGGGCAGGGCTGTCGCTGTAAAAGGCCCAATTATACCGTTGACTTTGACTGGGGGCCGCTAGTTTAGACTTTCTCAAAATCACCTTTTTTTTTTCTCTGGACCCTGAGTCGACTAATAAAAAGCAAAAGCAACTGGAGAAAGGACAAGCTTCCCCTCAGAAAGAACGAGAATAAGGGAAATAACGGCCGTTGAGAAAAGAGAGAGACCAAAGAATGCGGGTGGAAGACAGCCCGACGTCCCGTCCGTCTCCGGCTTTGGCCGACAAGCTACGGAGGAGCTGTCAAACAGATGAGACTCAGGGCGGACTAACTATTCTATGGGGTTCAGAAAAGCACAGAGCAGCTAATTTGAGCCCGGACGTAAGAATAAGTCACGGAGAGATTCGACAACGTTTGAAAGGCGGCGGGAGCTAGGAGTGGTCGGTGCGGATCTTTATGAGGAGCCAAAGCTTACGGTACTGTACGGGCTGAAGGTGTTTTACGTTACTTACGAAGCTCTGACTTTGTTGGTACGTAAATGCATCCTGCATTGATGAGATCGGAATCACAGACCATTCGGAATACTCGGGGCCTCCTTCACTCTGTCCCCTCTGACGTCTCCGGGAACGAATATGGAGAAGCAGACGGACGGCATTGACCGGACTGTTTATTAAGTTAGGCTGTTGTGTTGTTGTACTTACAGGCTACAGCTACGTATGCCTACCTAACTATGCCCTTATTCGCATGGTTCCGGGTTCTTCTAATGTCAGGCACAGGCACAGCACACGAGATTAGTCCCGTAATCGAACAATTCCGAATGTCTTCTGGAAGCATTCACTGATCAAGTTCTACCTAGTCCTGTACCTCGGTCGAACCAACACACAATCCCAACTCCGAATTCCATTGCCTATCATTGTGGCACAATTGACACGCCGCTTCTGGTCAAAACGCTGACGATCCCTCTGCTCACAAGCTTTACTACGTACACTCGGTCTTCAGCTGCAATACAACCTCGGTCTGCAGTCACAGTAACATGGCAATCTGAAGGTTTGGAAAGGATTCCCATGACGCAGACCTTAACGGTCGCGTGAGAAGTGGACTCTTGTCAGTGGTAGGTAAGTATTTGACCTTACACAACCTCTGAACGAGATACCCTTGATTCGTTAACTGAAGCTGTCTTAATCAGCCAACTGTCAGCTTTCTTTAGTGTCGTTGTTGGGGTTCAGCTCAATCCTCTGCCGGCCGGTGATGATGACACAAATCAAACCACCTGCCACACACAATGGCTCTCTATTGTCGCGCCACGGCCAGACACAGAGTTTACGGTGGCTGTCAAGACCCGAGCCCAGGTACCGAACCCGAACCTTGGGGTGAAGTAACCTCGAAACTAGTGCCGACAGGACGCTACGGGGGAATGTGGTAGACAGGGAGTTTGGGGGTGCAAGGGTCCTTTTGGTGTTGAGGTGAGGCCATGCTATTCCCGAGAGCAACAGCTTGGATGAGGTTTATTGCTCTTACAAGTAGGCCGGCTAATTGATATGCAGCGCGTCTAGAGACGCTCGTTCTATCTCGGAACTTCTCGTCCTTGGAGTCCAATATGTACTCGCTATATATTTCGCCTTTCGTACATGACATGTCGTATTTGAGCGTCACTAATAGACCTGCAACGTCTTGAGAGTCTAAGGCAGGCTGTGGAAAGCCAATAAGTTACATGTCGTTTGTTTGCCTGAACAATGTTTGCTTTTCGTCTGCTGTGATTTGCCGTGTTACAAAGCAGTTGTCTAGAATAGCACCTCCAAGTTCTGGGCCCTCGCTTCCGGTTGGTCACATCTGACGTTCCATTCCTCAAACATGTGGTTGCCATGCGTTGAGTTGCGCGTGGCTACCGCATGGCTTGAGACTCCTAGGGATTAGGGATTGTATGGACGGCAGATATCCCCGTCGATGATATACTTGCCTAGCTGGCTACTGTAACTCATCAGCTGCAGATCTCCACAGAGTTTTGAGATCAAGAGCTACTGGAAGGGAACTAAGTTAGTTAGTGATGGGCATTCTTTATGTTGTTTTAGAGGTGAAACTTGAGTCAAGCTGGCCTTGTATGGCTTGTGCTCTGATTTGAGTATCATGGGAATAATTGCCTTTGCCACACGCCATATCCGTCAAGCCTTACTTAACTCGAGCTGTCAAGTCGAGTCAAAGTTGACTAAAAAGAGAGTTTTCTTGTGATTTGGTTACCGAATCTAGAATCTAGATCAGCCTCGTTTCTCACCTGTTTCTGTCCTCGGACCATATCCATAGCCAAGACTTCCCTAAAAGATTCATCCTCACTGTGGCCTTCAGTGGAAGCCGCCGGGCCACTCCCAAAAGCAAGGAGAGGCCTGGAGCTTACAGGGCCTGACCCCACTAACAGAAAAACCTCCACCCACCCAAAGGGAACTAACAATGGATCCCAGCTGTTCATCGTACGACTTCCTGAGCTTGGATTTCCCAACATCCATCCACTTCGCTTTTTTTACTTTTCGCCCTCACTTAGATACACCCTCTATCGCCCGGGGGTACTGCTAGGTCTACCACGAGGAATAGACGGCTTGTGGAGAAGCTCGAATTTTCTTTCTTTTCTTTTTCTCTATGGCTATAATCTCTGTTTGTGGGTGTATCACCCCGTCCGTCCACTCTAATTCAACTGGGGGCGTGTGATACCTCACTATCCATGCCATACCATGCCATGCCCTTGCTGTGTCATGGCCATGAGCCATGAGGAGGAGAAGTCGGAGGAGGAGGAGGAGCAGGATATAATATCTAGGGACGACTCCCCTCTCAGATGCATCTCTCGACTGACGAACTCTGCTTCATTACAACATCTCATTCCTTTACTCATCTGCTACTCTACCAAGCTCGACATATACAGCAGTTACACGAAGCATTGTCGACATTTCTCAAGTCTCTGTCTATTACATACTCAACCTCAACCTTCTTAGAGGTCTCTTTACTACTACTCCTACTGTAGTACCTCATACTCTTCACAATGGCTCTGTCATATCAACAAACCAGGCTCATCCGTGGCACCATCCCCGCCCTTACCGACCACGGAGAGCGCATCACCACCATCTTCTACCGCAACATGCTCCGTGATCACCCTGAGCTCAACGACTACTTCAACACCGTTAACCAGGCCAACGGTCGCCAGCCCCGTGCCCTCACCGCTGTCATCCTCAGCTACGCCAACAACATCAACCATATCACAGAGCTCATCCCCAAGATGGAACGCATGTGCCACAAGCACTGCTCCCTGGGCATCAAGCCAGAGCATTATGGTATCGTCGAGAAGTATCTCATTGCCGCCTTCGCTGAAGTCCTCGGTCCTGCCATGACACCACAGGTCAGAGAGGCTTGGCAGAAGGCTTACTGGATGCTTGCCAAGATGCTCATCGGCCGTGAGGCTCAGCTCTATCGTGACTTTGGCAAGTGGCAGGGCTACCGCAAGTTCCGCATCGAGAAGAAGGTTGAGGAGTCTGATGACATCTACTCTTTCTACCTCGTTCCTGTCGACGGCAAGCGTCTTCCTCCCTTCCAGCCTGGACAGTATGTCTCTGTTCAGGTGCCCATTGCTGACAAGGGCTACGTCCAGTCTCGCCAGTACTCCCTGAGCGAGGCTCCTCGACCTGACTACTACCGTGTCACCGTCAAGCGAGACGAGGGACTTCACATGACCCGCAGCGGTCGATATCTCGGAGGCGATGCCCTCAACCCTGGTGTTGTCTCCAACCTCCTTATCGACATGAAGGACGAGGGTGATATCGTTGAGTTAACTCACCCCGCTGGCGAGTTCTACCTCGACATGTCCAACACTTCCAACGTTCCTATCGTTCTCATCTCCGCCGGCGTCGGTGTCACTCCCATGATGTCCATCCTGAACACCGTCTCCGAGCGCCAGCCTCACCGTCCTGTCTCCTGGATCCATGGCTCTCGCCGCTCCGTCCCCTTTTACGACCAAGTCCGACGCATCGCCCGCAACCGCCCCAGTTTCCGCACCAATATCTTCAAGACCCATCTCGCCGAGTCCGACGTCTACGGTATCACCTACGACCACGACTTCCGCATGGATCTTGCCAAGGTCGACAAGGAAGATCTCTACCTCTGCAACAGCTCTACCGAGTACTACATCTGCGGCCCTGAGCAGTTCATGCTTGAGATGGCCGAGTACCTCAAGGCTCAAAAGGTCGATGCTCCCCGCATGCATTTTGAGCTCTTCAGTACTGGTGACATGGAGTTCAAGGTCGACAACCTGAGCATCGGCTCTGCGTCAAAGGCAAATTCCATCAACGGCAGTGAGGCCAGATGCCCTAGTTCCGGAGCTATCTCTACGAATGGTGCTACTTGCCCCTTCTCATGAGTTTGGACCTTATCTGAGCTGAACGAACAAAAACATAAAACTATTTACGGGGCATCTCTCGGTCATGGGTTAGATTACGGGAAGTGGTGAGGCGTTACGGGTTCGGCGCATATCTTGTTCTTTATTGTTGTATCTCTTACAAGATTCCCTTTGATGACAAATATTCTCTCTGTCAAATCATAATACATGTTCTACTTCTACACTACAAGATTAAGGGGTTTTGAGGACGCATTGGGTTTATCTGAACGAAACGGCGGGAAGGAAAAGTACGAGATTTGGGATGGGATTGGGATGGGAGGTGTCTAGAAAGTAAAAAGAGAAATCAACAGAATTTCATTGTTCTACCTGAATAAGCAAACATGCTAAAACATGATACTCCATCTATATAACCACAGCTATACCTAATAATGAGTGAATAAACTGGCCTGTACGTGGTCCCGTACTCGCTTCTCAAGCGATCCCCCGTCTTTGCCCGCTCCGGTAGCACGGCAGGGTACGGAGTAGGCTGGCCAAAAACATCTGAAATCAGGAGACAGACGACGAACAAAGGAAAAAGCCGCATATGCTAGTGAAAGATAGGAGAAACGAAAGAATGACACCGATCGTTCCGTTACTGCTCGTAGTTGTGAAACTTCTTCCAATGCTTGAGCAGATTGTCCTGCCTCGTAAACTTGGAAGTACACCCCTCAAATCCGCAGATCCTCTCCTCGGTGAGAATACCCTTGCTCGCCGCGTAGGTTCTGTGAGAGGTCCGGTAGTGGCGATCCATGTCCCGCTGCTCTGCCTTGGTGACGTTGCAGTTGGGATCGGCTTTGCATTTGACAGGCTTGTTGTGGGTTTTCATGTGCTTGCTGCGTCGTATTATTCAAAACATTTTCTGTTTCATGTTTGCAAACTTAACTTACTTCAAGTCTCTGTTGCCGCCGAAGAAGCGGTCACATTCTGAACAGTAGTGCGGAGTGGTGCCCTGGGCCGTAGACGATGAAGCCTCCAGTTGAGCTGAGATGTCGTTAGCCTGTTTCTGTTTCAACTAGAGATGGATGTAACATACTAGGATCGGCAGTTGGATAAGAGCTGGGGTAATTCTGGGTTGCATAACCAGACCCTGAACTCAGTAGAACCTCATTGGGGTTGACAGTTGCAGGTTGCTGCGTCATGTAATACAACATGCTTGGGTCCTGAGTCTCTGGAGCACTCGAGGCTGTTGCGTATACACCTGAGTTGAAGTCAGAGACTTGTGAGTCAGCGCTCTACTGGCTCTGACTTGGACCAGCCTGGCTGTAAGAGGCAAAGCCCTGGGTATCAGTGTATCCAGGGTATGAGGTTTCGGAAACCAGATTGGGATCAATGGGAACGTCGTCCTGTTGAGATTGATGAGATCTGCTGGAACGACTATGTCTGTGAGAATGGTCGCTTCGTCGTGACATGTCTAGGATGTTGCAACTCGGAGAGTATGACTTGCAGAAAAGCTGGAAGAATGGCGGGTTCACTGAATGAATCTGAAGGGCTTGGTATTAGCTCTTGTGAGGATATTCGAGGTAAATTTATACCCATTAAAAGAGCCTCTTTGGAGGCCGGCCGGGGGCCGACAGCATATTCTCATCTCTGCGATGTTTGACAGAGGTGAATTGGTTTATACATGAACAAGAGGGGAGCTGAGAACAAGATAGAAGGCACCAGATCCTGAAAGGCGGAATACTCAATGGCGAAGCGAGGATAATGAGACAAGTCGCGATATCACGACTCTGCCTCGTCCGACATTTACGACCCAAATACAGGCCAGATTCGGTGAGATCCGTCATTTTGGTTGAGGAAGATAAATGTCAGATAAGGCGATCAAGAATATTGGAGGCCGGCTGGGGAGAAATGCAGTTTGTTGGTCACCCCGCATGATGCGATGTGATTGACTGATGGGCCTCCCAAACTGGCCGGCCCCCGACATGAGGCTTGGACGAGGCAGATCTTGTGGTCAAAAAGAGTGTAAAAAGTCGGGGGAGCTGAAGGCCTGGATGTCTTGGATGATCAGAAGCTATATAAGAGCAATAGTTTCTCTTAATGGGTGACTTGAGTAACTGCAAACTGCTCTTGTCGAACATACACTCCAACTTACTGCACAAACAAGGCCCTTGATAGCATACCCAAACATGACTGCTGGTAAGCCGGCTCTTATTTCAATGAGATTTGCAATAACCAACAGTCGGCAGACGACATAATCTCGCTCAAGTCAAGGCAAAAGCGCCGTCTCTATGAGCCCATAGTCCTGTACAAGGCTCTTACTGAGATCACCCACGAACAAGGCGCTCTTCGTCCTGCTGAAGCCCCAGAACGGCCAAGGACCGAAGAAGAGCGGTATCATCACTTTCTTCACAAACTAGCCAGTATCTGCGATAGTACCAAGGGCGGTAGGACCGTCACTTCAATCGCTATACTCGACGAGGAAGAAAAGTACAAATACGTCTTTGCTTGCAATCAGATATCCGATGGAGACCTCGCCGATACACGAGATCTCCTGACAACGGTTCTGACAAGCCTGTGTGACTTTCATACATTTCCTCTGGGGAAGAAGAACACTGTTGAGAGTAAAATTCTGAAGAAGATTCTCTCATTCAACTCGCCTAGAATCAACTTCTATCTGAACCACCTTAAGGCGAAGAACATTGTGGAATGCCTAGAGTACTGCCACCTACATACAGACGCAGCCGGTAAGTCAGACTGCCCATATGCCAAGATGCATGATAAGACTAACGGGCGATATAGACACCTCGGTCGAGGAGGGTTTGAGGACTCTTGGTAGTGTTCTTGAGGATTTAACATTCAAGAACATGGGCGATAACGAGTGTAAGACCCATTGGTCCCGTGTATTGCCATACAGGAACTAATCATGAACCAGACTTTGAAACCTACAGCACGATTCAGCTTGTGCTCGATAGGTTTCTTACCCCTGAAGTTAAAAGCTACATCGACATACGGGCCACCAACGGCCGCTTCAGCGAAGGCCGGAGCTTCGTATGCTGGTCTGAGTTACGACACAGCATATCACGTCTTCAGAGCTACAAGAAAACTGTCCAAGATCTCATCGCAGCCGAGAAAGAATGGCCAGATATTTTCCAGGAGTTCGAAGTTGTTTCAGTAAAGTCCAGCCAGGCAGAACCCAACCCCCTTGGCAAGAAGAGCGAAAAAGCTTCCAACATCATCGGGCGTATGTGCAGCAACGAGGCTTCACGACAGCGATATTGCGATCTTGCAGACAACCTGCAGAGGATGTTTAACTTGGATGACCGTATACAAACTCAGTGCACCAAATATACTTTCAGGCCAATTGTACACTGCGAAATACTAGTTCTCGAGTGGATAATGGCCCTCAACCGAGAACTTGCCCGGGAACATCACCCAGGGGTCATGTTCTTTCATGACTGGAGCTACATTGGGAGCAGTAAGCCGGCATGCCAGCTTTGCCGCTACTACTTCGACACTGCAGGTCAACACAACGGTATACGCACTCGAGCAGGCCATGGTAATCTTTACATCAACTGGCGGTTTCCAGATCTTCACGAATCCGACGGGACTTTCGGTCAAAAACGACGACAGAGCATCTTCAACTCAATGATAGAGAAGATTCGGCAGGATGCTTTTGGGATCTTGGTGATGAGGAACTCGGAGGGCAAGAGGCATGACTCGAGCACCCATCCTCTCATGTCGGTGCGGTATACGGATGTTCAGACGGAGTTGAGTGTTGGTGATCTGCCTGATGTCGATGAACTGGGCGAGGGTTTTGCTACGGGGCTCAATCTGGACTCGCCGAGTAACAGTCTGGAGGAGTCAGACTTTGATGATGAGGATGGTGGAACTAGTCTTTGATGACAGTTGTTTTATTCCGGGGTGTATTTTTGTGTCTTTTTCTTTCTCTAAGCTGTATCTCGTTTATCTCGTCAACACGTGTCCCTATAACTTCGATGATGTATGACTTAGTGGTCATTTCGCTTGTGCCAGGGAGCGGTAGCCTCGAGAAGGTCCTTGTGAAGCTGGCTATCACCACTGATCTTGTACACTTCCTCAAGAATGTTGTTACGCTGCATGAAGATCAAGAAGCCACCCCAGACAAAGTCAGCATAGCTAGGGGTCTTTCCCAGAAAGAAAGGTCCCTCTGAGTTCTCCTTTAGAAGAGCCTCAACCTCGTGGATATGTGCCTTGGCGTTATCCCAAGCCTGTTGGCCGCCCTTCTCCTTGTGAAGCTCCTCAATAGGCTGGCCGGCCATCTTGGATCGTGTCTCGTGCCAGTAAGGGACGCTCTTTTCACTGAGGATGTTGTTGGGGACGGTGTAGAAGTAGACAGGTCGAAGGGCGCCCATGATATTTGGCATGATGGAGAAGAGCTTGGCGAGGACGGGTGAGTCCTTGTGGACAGAGGGCTCAGGGTGGTCCTTCTCGACGCGCTCGAGGATCGCGTTGGAGTCCATGATGTATTCTCCATCGGGGAACTTGACGGTTGGGATGGTCCATGTTCCAGTGGATGGGTTGGCGGGGACACTGAAGAGTGTTAGTTGAGGTGCTGTGAGTGACATTGAGGACTTACTGAGGCTCAAGAGTGGGCTTGATGTCGGGGTACTCGAGCTAGTCATTGATCAATAAGAGAAGCGGCGGCTATGAGATTCTTGACGTACCCATTCGGTCTTGTAATCGATTCCCTTGAAGTTCAGGAGAAATCGAGCTATTACACAATTAGTAATATGTCATGAGGGGCAGCAGCTTGACTCACTCTTCCATGGGTTGAGAGACCAAGCACCGACAGGATCTCGGCTTGGGAGATCAAAGAGGACGTATTGCTCAGATGACATTGTGAGTTGTTGGTGATGGCGTATTAATTGTCTTGTGTGATGAGTGAAGTGAAAGTTGTAAAGATCAAAGAAGTCTTCGACGAATATGTCATTGTCACCAAATCTACGGAGCTCCAAGCTCATGAGGGCCAGGAAGGAAGGAGGGGCAATAGTGGGGAGCTGAGCTGTCATAGATGGGGATCTTCGGTTCTAGGCCGAGGAATTTGGTCAACGAATCAGCGTTGATCTTTGGAACACGCAACTCGAGACTATCTTGAAAGAAGGCAGCCGAATTTATTCTTTAATAGGGACAGCCGCTGTACTATGTAGATATTGTGCTGCTAGTCATGTGTCATGACAATGATGGGTGGACCCCAGTTTCTGACTCGGCAGCGTAAGCATACCTAGGTAAGCCATAGATTCCATTCTCAGACATGAAACTGTATTAGCCAAAATTCTTTGTTGGTAGAACATATATTGACCGACAGACTGTATAGATATTTGAATGTTACTACATGCCTTACCTCTACTGATTGGAGGGAGAGCCCAGACTACCTAGGCATCCAAGTTTGGGGGCCGGGAAAATCAAGTGAAGCAGCATAAGACTATAAGTGGCGAGTTTTGAGCTGTCATCATGAGTACACCACTCTACCCAAGGCAAGACAAACACTGCGTCGATCAACAAGGAGACGCATCCCTTATACAATTCGACGCAGGAGGCAATTCTGTGGTGCACCCGACAGCCTTTTCATGATAACAAGGGATTAATGACAACATCAGTATTTTTCATATGAGGCACTCCAACCATGATGCTCAATATATAAACACAAGCTTAAGTCAAGTTGGCAAGGTACCAACCTGAGCAAACTTGGGTTTCTCTTCATTAGAGAGATACTGGTTGCCACCATGCAGAGCTTGATGCTCGCGTATCGTTATCGCCAACAGCACAACATGAAACCGCCATCTTTGTCGGCTACACCATCAACTTGGGATTATGTATCTCCCTCAGCCTTATGGGGATTAAAGACAACACGGAATTCCGCGTCATCACTAATAAAAAGGGCCAAGATAGTGGGGAACGAGTGCGAGAGCGACAGGATCTAGCTAAGCATCTAACCCCTGTCGTTACGCAAACACCACTCAGCCCCCAAAAGAGGATCGGCAGACCAATTCAACATGGTCCAAATCCTTCGACGTCACAGATAGCGATACTGTTGGTTGAACTCTGGGCTGAGACACAGCCACTGAGCCTTGTTACATACAAATCATCTGCACGACGTAGTAGGCGTTGAATCCTTCTCTATGTGCCTAGAATTAGCTCCTTGCATTGCATACAAGAGACCCTTAGGCCCCCACCTCACTTCTACAATTTCTTGCAGCTCTTTTTGTCAGATTTCATGAATCATCATACAACACAGCGATAAGCGTAGCAGCAGACAGCACAATGGCCACGATACAAAGCACTACACAGCCCAACACGCTGGAAACGCCAGACTTACAACAACGTCCTACAACTCCAAGGTCAGTAAACCACAGCTCCAGACCTCTTCCTTTAGCTAACTTGATATAGAGTAATTCGCACCGTCGTCCACGATGAAGGTCTTCCAGAAGTTGTCCACTCAAATCAACCCTTGAAACCCACAGAATACTACGATGCTCCGATACCAGTAGACTCAGAAACAGACAAACGATACAACGAAGCTCCTATTCCAGTCACAACACTCGACAAATATGAGCCTGCACCTCCACTGCCAGTTCGTCCATCTTCAATAACACCACAACCTCAGCAACCCTACCCCTACGGCCCAGGTGGTTATTCTCAACCACAACATCCCGGCTTCGTCGCTCAGTCACCGCAACTACCATTCTTAAACAACAATGAGGTCGTAACGTATGTGACACCGCTCGACCAGCTTGGAGATCATCCAAAGTTCGTGGATTGTCCGTTCTGCAGACATCGTGCAGAGACACGAGTGAAGAAGGTATCTTCAAAAATGACACAGTAGGCTCACCAAAACAGTTTGAGACTTTCGAATCTAACAATCTCTAGTGTCTCTGCAACAGTCCTCGGATTCACAACGATAGCTGGCGCTGCTGTTCCTTATGTTGGGAAATGGCACTCTCACACAGCTCACTACTGCAGCATTTGTGACCATAAAGTGGCAATTCGGAAATGGGGATCTAATCAGATGAAGCCTCAAGCGACGCCCGATTATCTGAGGGAGGTATCGAGATATGGCCCCGCTCAATCACCAAGCATGTCCAGTGGCTCGACGAGAGGTTAAGATTGATTCGTATGAAAAACAATGAGGAGATTGATACCAGGATGAGAAATGGTTTTCAAAAAAGGGGGCGAGCTGTTGATCGAGTTGGTTATCTACAAGACACAGGCTCATTACACAGCATTTGGTTTGATTTTTGAGGCATGATTATCAAGTTCACGAGTTGTAAATGCACCGCTATAGCTTATAGGTGTCCCCTCCAGCAAGACTACTGTCGGAGAAATATACAGATCTCGACGATGGCTTCTTTTGCAAGTCTCATCAGGCAGACTTTTATAAGTACTTGCTTGTATGATTATCGACGGCTAAAGATGGCTTCGCCTGGCCAATCATGCACTGTGACAATGTCGATCTGGGTTTGGGGAAGCCAACGGCTTGGCTGTTCCACGGGGCCTGTCAGATGCTTATTTTCTGCCCTGCCCTGTCAGATCTCAATTAAACCTAAGAATGGATTACAGGAATGCTTTATAAGTCTGTAGAGAGTGACTCTGATATTTTGTGCTGTTACAAGTCAGTTTTAACGACATGTTCCCGCCCCCTGTAGGTGTCTTTACAGCACCTCGTCAATCCCAGAATCAGTGCTGTATAACTCTGGGTCAGTTAGGGTCCCAATACCGGGGACATGGACAATTAACAGACCCAATTGAGAAAAGATACGCCTAAAACACCTCGTACGATGCTGATTCTGGCTCTAAGATGTTTTTATTTACTACAATTGGCTCAAAGGCAGTAGAATCGCTTTGTGGCGTCAATTAACTGCGGGACTAACAACTTAGATCAAGTACTGTACTTGTACTTTTAGGGGTTCAGAGCGCAATCTCTAAACACCACGGCAGTTTGACTTCTCAACATCTCCCACCTCTCGCACGGCATCTCCAACATCGTCGTCGCACAACCTCGCAGCAATGGAAGAACCAACAGAACATCACGACATTCTCGTTATAGGAGCTGGTCTCTCCGGTATTAACACCGCCCACGTTCTCAACCAGAGACTCCCCCACCGCTCGTACACGATCCTCGAGGCACAATCAGCCATTGGCGGAACATGGCGCTTCTTTCGCTACCCAGGCTTTCGATCCGACTCCTTCATGACAGCTTTTGGTCTGTCATGGTATCCTTGGAAACATAAGCATAAGATGGCGCAGGCGGGCGAGATCGTGGACTATCTGGAGGAGGCTGTTGATGCAGCAGGCTTGAGGGACAAGATTCGCTTCCGACATAGGATGCTGGCGTGCGAATGGCGGACAGACGAGCAGAATTGGAAGATAGAAGTTGATGCGGACGGTCAGCAAAAGACATACATCGCCAACTTCGTCATCAGCTGCGTGGGATACTATGCGTACGACAAGGCTTTTCCGACGACAATTCCTGGTCTCAAGGGCTTCGGAGGACAGGTCGTTCACCCCCAATGGTGGCCTGAAGACCTCGACTATTCTGGCAAACGCGTCATTGTCATCGGATCAGGAGCCACAGCGATCACAATTGTCCCATCACTTGCTGAGAAGGCAGATATGGTGACTATGCTCCAGCGCAGTCCATCCTTCGTCATCTCCCGACCTACAACTTCCACCATCGACTCTTGCTTGAAGTCCCTGCTCCCATTTTCACTAGCATACTGGCTGGTGTATTGGAAAGACGTGTTGGCCGAAGTCTTTTCCACTCAGTTTCTACTCAACTTCCCTGCATTGGGTCGCAAGGTCTTGATGGGGGAGATGCAAAAGGCACTGCCCAAGGACATTGACGTCAATGTTCACTTTAACCCCAGATACAATCCTTTCCAACAACGACTCTGCATGTGTCCAGATGAGGACTTCTTCAAGGCTCTGCATCAGGACAGCTGCGAGATCGTGACAGACACAATCGAGACTGTCACAAAGGACGGTATTTTGCTCAAATCCGGTCGCAAGCTCGAAGCCGATATAATCGTTACCGCAACAGGGTTGTACTTCCAACTCTTCGGCGGCATAACCCCGTTGGTAGACGGGCAGCCTATCGAGGTTGGCTCACACTACGCCTGGCGTGGCTGCATGGTTGACTCTGTCCCTAACATGGGCTTCGTGATGGGCTACGTGACAACATCTTGGACACCCGGCGCGGACATCATGGCCAAGACATTGATAAGCGTTATCAAAGAAATGGAGAAGACGGGATCAACGAGTGTTATGCCCGTGCTGAGTGCAAAGGATAAGAACAAGCCGCAGAAGCTACCCGTCAGTGCTACCAGCAGCTATTTCGTCAAGGCTGCGGACCGTATGCCAAAGGTGACTGATGAAGGTCCGTGGTATGGACGGGTGAACTTGGCCAAGGATTGGTGGGCGTGGTTGGTGGGTGATATGTCGAGTGGGCTTCTCTACAGCGGAGGACAAAGAAAGAAGGATATTTGAATTGTATATATTGAGACAAAGAGAAACGCCACGAGTTTGCTTTCCGGGATTGTTGGACCTTGATAGCGTTTGGCTAGATCCGACGTTGCCGAAGGATCACTAGCTGACACGATTTATGAATCATGAAAATGGCATTAACTTATAAGCTTATCTAGATCCTTGCAATCTCATATCTTACATGTAATTCATGCTGACCAAGTCTGAGCATCTTGATTGAGATTTGTTCGTCTTCCTTTCTGCCAAGGCTATTGGCTGCTGAAGATACCTCTATAGTCAAAGTCGGGCTTGGGTCTAGAGCTAGCTAGCACAATCGAAGCAAAACGCCTCAAGCTCTTCCCCGTCTTCGGACACTTGCGTCAACCCACGCGATTGGCTCTTTTACTACTTAGTTATTCTCCGATTCGTTTACTTTCACGATCGAACAATCTCGATCACGATGAAGATTCGTTTGTACTTCTTCATTTTGCACATGCTGACAACAGCCCAGAAGTGCTACTCTCGGTTACATCCGTTACTTGAAACAACCCTGCCCTATCCACGCCAACTTCTATCAATGTCTTCAGTTTGACGAATCTGGAGAGGTGAAATAATGGGACGTCTGATCCTACGCCGCTTCATGGCATCCACGCGGGCCGGAGTTTAGACTAATCTAGTCTAAAGTCAATTCCCTGGCTCTTGGTCCAGGCAGATCGAGACTGGTAAGTCACAGGTCACATATCATCTACTTAACGTGCTCGCACTCGTCATTATTCAGACCTACAACACACCTTGTCACGGTCAATTGATCTGTAACCATGGGGCTTCTAACAGATCAACCGCTAACCAAGATCTGTCTACAGGCTACCCTTGTGTTGCTTATCGCTCAGCTATTTCGTCTTGTTCGTCGCTGGTCTCGTCTACGCCATATTCCTGGCCCAGCCAGCGCAGGATGGACTTCATGGTGGCAGTGTCGGGGGGCTCTTAGCGGTCGCTATCATGAGCATTTAAAGAACGCAGCAGGTCAATTCGGTACGATCACTCCTCAAAACACTGCCCAAATCACTAACAGTCAATAGGTCCTCTGGTTCGTATTGGTCCCAATGAGGTGCTCTCAACAGACCCGGTTGTGCTGCGCAACATGTCCGCTGTGCGAAGCACTTATATAAAGGGGGACTTTTATAGCAGTGGCAGGATAGTTCCTGGTGTTGATAATGTCGTCTCTGAGAGGGATGAGGCAAAGCATAAGTTTATGAGAGCAAAGATGGCACCTGGTGTAAGTCAACTCTACCATCGCAATACTCTTCCGATACTGATGGCTTCTCAAGTACTCTTACAAAGAAAATGAAGGTTTCGGCTTCGAGGCAGGCATATATCGTCAACTCCTCAACTTCATCTCACTCATCGACCGAAAGTACCTTTCAACTACAAGCAAATCACAACCTCTTGACCTTGCCGAAAAGACACAGTTCTTTGCCTTAGATGTCATCGGTGATGTATCTTTCGGTGAACCATTCGGCTACTTGACCAAAGATGAAGATCTCTACCAATACAATGAGATAAATGCCAGTTCCCTGCCGGTCATGAATCTGGTATCTGTCTATCCATGGCTAGGGAGGGTTGTTCACCAGTGGCCGCTAAGTCTGTTGCTACCGCGGGAGGAGGACCAGGTTGGCTTCGGGCGACTGATGGGGTAACTAACATACCAGTTAATGGTAACCCAAGCTGACTTTTGTAGCTTCGCGAGGCACTTTGTTCGCAAAAGACTGGCCGATGGGATCACGACGAGGAAGGATATGATGCAGATGCATATCAGAAACGGCATGAATGAGGAGGAGCTTATCCAACAAGCCTTCATCTCAATGTAAGTTCCGTCAACCCACTCTCAAGACCTCCTATTAACCAACCTCAGTATAGCTGGGTCCAACACCACAGCACACGCGCTTCGAATGATCATACTCTCCTTAATCACGAACCCAAGCGCATACCGCTCCCTCATCGCCGAGATCCAAAAGGTCGCCCTATCAGTCAGCAGTCCCATATCCTGGACACAGACGCAAACACTACCATATCTTCAAGCCGTCGTTCGCGAAGGAATGCGCATGTGGCCGCCAGTAGCTGGTCTCGGTTTTAAACAAGTCCCTCCCGAAGGTGATACCATCAACGGCTTCTTCGTCCCCGGCGGAACGCAAGTTGGTCAGGGGTTCTACGCTGTTGGTCGATCACGTCTTGTCTGGGGCGACGATGCTGATGTTTTTCGGCCTGAGCGATGGCTACTCGTTGATGAAGACAGGCTAAGAGATATGATAGCGGCTTTCGACACACATTTCGGACATGGGAAATACTCGTGTTTGGGAAAGCCGATTGCTCTCATGGAGATTCACAAGGCTGTTTTTGAGGTATGTACGCTTATACAAAGCATCTCGCATAGTTATGCTAACAGATGTCAGTTGTTTAAACGCTACGACTTTGCTATACTGAACGTTGAAAGGCCTATCAAGACCCAGACTTCCGTCTTCCTCTTTGCTTCAGACTTTTGGGTCACAACCACCAGACGTGATGACGAAGAGAACTGACTTCCAATGTGCGATTAAATGGACGAGAAGCGGTAATATGTATCTATCTCATATCTTAGAGATCTTAGTTGTAGCATATTAGTCCTCTGGATTTGACATTTTGTAGATCTAAAGCCGGCCTCGATTTACATAAGAGAACACACAAGAGATCACATTTGCAATACCTCTCGTGAGTTTGACTGGGTATTCGTTTATTCGAGTAATACATATGACAAGCGATTTCACTTGTATCGAATTGATTGAGTAGAATGAGAAAAGTCTCCGCCACTCTATGCTCAAATCTCCTCTTCCTCGGGTTTCCTTGATGGCGTACCAAGTGTCTCAAGGCCTCTGGCTCCCACCATTTCCACAGGCGCATTTGCTGGGATTTCCACGCCCTTGCCTTCAACGACCTTTCCCTGTCCCATAGCCTCTTGGTATTTCTTACCCATCTCATCCAGCAGAGCTTGTACCTCCGCTTCTCTCTTCACGATATCCTCGCGTTCCTTCTTAAGCTTCTCAACACGATTTTGCTTCCCCTTCATCTCCGCTTCCATACCCTTCAACGTAGTCTGCAGACGAGCTAGACATTCAGTCAAGCTTGGTAGAGGCGATATCTTGGGTGGCGCTTGTAACAAGTCTTGGCTTGGATCTTTCCGAGGTTTCTTCAAGCCATCCATACCTGCACGTGTCTGCGCAGCCTCGTATGCGATTCGTCTCTCAGCATCGCTATCGGAGGAGGAATCTGAAGTGTGCCCCTCGGCAGCTGTGATGAGCTCTTCCATCATCTTGCGATCTTGTTTCCGCCTCTCCTTTTCAGCACGTCTGCCCAAGGAAAGCCCACCGTCTTCGACGTAATTATCGAACCCTTCACCGAGATCCTCGTCCTCGGCTATTAATCGTGTATCGTCCTTCTTTTTGCGACCAAATGGGTCTTCATCATCTTCAACCGATAGAAAGTCCTTCTCCAAAGCTAATCGTTTACGCCGTTCCTTCTTTTCTAGAATCTCGGCTTCTGTTAGAATAGCCGTTGGTTGTGGTTGGCTAAACTCTGACGAATCAACAACAACCGCGCCTTCAAGTTCAGAAGCATCCAGGTCCATAAGATCGGCGTCATCGGGAGGCAGTGTTGACGGCCTTTGTGGAGTATTTGGTGTTGATGACTGTAACTCTTCAAGGTATTCTTTGCTGTATTTGGGCCGGTCATCATCGTCCCCAATAGTCCTCATGGGAAGGCCTTTCGTGCCCAGTCCTCTTTTGATAGCGCTGTTTTCCAATGCTCGCCCCAATGGCAACTTCTTAGGAGTGAATACCTCGGTGGTCTCGTCATCTCCTGCAGCACTATCGTCTCCACCAAAGGACAATCGTGAAGATTTGTTCGATTTTTTCTTCCCTTTCAAAGATCCTGATCGACTAATCGCTGGTCGAACCACTACTGGTCCGTCATCCTCGTCGTCGTTCGCGGCTGGTGCATCTCCCAGGCCCTCACTATCAGCAGGATTGAAGCTCTTCCTCAGCCCCGACTGTCGGAATGGTTTACGGCCAGCTTTTGCGCCAAATACTGGTTTAACAGGTTCTGTATTCGCGAGGGTCAGCCTTGATCCCATCAGCAAGAGTCGCATTTTGAAGTTCTGGAAATACTCACCATCGATACCAGCACTGTCGCCACCTGTTGCTGAAGGCGCATTTTCGCTGGAGTCCTCATCGGCGATCTTGATGACCTTGGCCTTTCGTTTCGCAGAAAAACTCATGATGCGATTGTATTTTTTAATGTTGACGCATTAACTGAGAAGCAGAAAGTTCGCGACGCGGATCAAAGTGACGTGCATTTTGGCTCGATATCTTATCAGCACGTGATGTTGAATTTCCGCCCAGAGAAATGGAGATAGCTCTAGGCCGCGATCGCGTCGCATGAAACAGCATCCAACTATTCAACCATTTATTGCTCAAGATGGCGCCCGCACAACCTGAGCTGAAGAAGGCAAGTCTTGGTCTTTTCCGTGTCGCATGTTCCTCAGCTTCGTCTTCAGCACTTCTCCCGGGCTGAAGCATTGCGACCTATTGCTGCTGATCCATAGCTAACTTTTCTACACAGTACCTCGACAAGAGACTGTTCGTCCAGTTGAACGGCAGCCGAAAGGTCATCGGTATCCTCCGAGGTTACGATGTGAGCAATATCCGTGCGATTGTATAAACAGAACTAATGGAAACAGGTCTTCCTGAACATTGTCCTCGACGAAGCGGTGGAGGAAAAGGATGGCGGAGAGAAGGAGAGAATTGGCATGGTTGTACGTTTACCTAACGCTCTCTTGTGATGTAGAAGACAAGGTACTAACATTTGGATAGGTCATCCGTGGTAACTCGGTAGTAATGCTCGAGGCTCTCGAAAGAATCGGCGGCGACGACCGACGTGGAGAACGATGATCCTGAAGAATGGCGGAAACACTAGAAGAGACGACGGAAATTATGTGATCTTTCTTGGCGTTAAGGTCGAAAATGAGACAAGTCCTTGAGCGCAGTTTGTTTGGGTCACATCTTACTAGATATCAAGAGAGGAAGGATATCCTCGAATTGTTATGTTACACCATGTCCAGCCAAACACTACACTACCTTACTCCTTCTTCTCCCAGGCCTTCTCGTTATAGGAGTCCATCAACTGCCCAGCATATGCCTTCTGCCAACCCTTGATACCTCCAATCAGAATTTCAGCCTTGATCTCTGTCTCTTCAACTTCATCGAGGTAGTCCTGCATCCAACCAGCACATCGGGGGCCTCGACTACCACAGCTTCCTGGGTGACAATGAGTACTAGACCGGTTTGGTTTATTAGGCGATGGCTTACCGCAATAAAAGATGATTCTCTTGATACCCGCCTGTTTGACAAGTTGATAGATCTGAGGACGGGTCTGATACAATGTATGAGCAGGGAGATTGATGGATGTAGCGATAGTGCCGCCCTCCCAGTCCGTCCTTCGAACATCTACTAGCAAAAAGTCTCTGTGGGCATTCTTTCCAGAAGCTGCATTCACTTCGATGAGCTTTGCGACAATTGAAGGGTCCGTTCGAGGGCATTCGGCCTTCGGCTCGGGAAACTCCTCCCACCATTGCTTCTGCGGGGTGTCCTGCGGGGCGTCTTCTCCCATGATGTGACTTTTTTAGAGAAGATACTAAAGTTTCGTAAACAAGCTTTGAGATATCTAAATTGGTGATATCGAAAGAGAACTTGGAATGATTGTATAGTGCAGGTTGGAGGGAAGAGGATATGCACTTTACATCGAAGCTACTAACTTATATGTAGGTGATGATGACGGAGTGCAGGCGGCCGGAACTTTTACCCCGGAATAAGGTTGTACGGTAACACCACGGGTCAGATTACAAACGCCTTTCACCCAATATAGTAATTCTGAAGAAAGAGTCGTTATTTCAGTAGGACGGACTAGAGTACTGGGCACTTGCTCTTGTGATATACTCATGAAAATGGCAATTTTTTCTTGTTGGACTGGGTAAAAGCCAATATTGATTGCCAAATAGTCAGCCACTGACAGAGGATCCATGAAATAACACTCACAAGTATATGTGATATAGAGGGAGGATAAAAAAGCTTACAGGTGGAAGGCATGTATATTTAACAAAAGTATATTTGACTTTCTAAATGGTTAAGATCCAGTTGTGTAAATTTATCGAATACATTGCCCTTTAGGGTAAGCCTACACAGACAGCTCACTTGCAACAAACTTCAGAGAACTTGGTGGTGAATAGGTAGCCAGGCAGCATTCAGTGATTGATTTATGATTAATTGGATTGGATTTGATAACGCTACACATGCTTTTAAATATCTGTAATCATGGGTCGAATGACTTCTCCTCGACAGCAATCTTTGACTCCAGAGCAATATCACCGGCAGATCTTCCAATCATAAACTTATAATCACCACCTTTAACCACCCACTTCTTTGCCGACTCATCAAAGAAAGCAAAGTCACGAGTACGGACAGGTATCTCAACCTTTGTGCTCTCACCAGGCTTAAGTGTAACCTTCTCAAAGGCAGCCAGTTGCTTCAGAGGATCACCCTTGGCAGTCTGAGCGGCTCCCACATAGACTTGAACAGCGATGGCCCCGACGACCTTGCCCGTGTTGGAAACCTTCAGGCTGACATTGTAGTCACTGCTAGACTCTTTAACCTCCAGGTCGGAGTAGTCGAATGTGGTGTAAGAGAGACCGAAACCGAAGGGGAAGTTGACCTTGTCGGTGGAAAGGCAATCGAAGTAGCGGTAGCCGATGAAGACACCCTCGCCGTACGTTACCCTCAGCCTGCCATCAACATGCTTTCCGGGGAAGTTGCCATACGCAGGACAGTCCTCGATCTTCTTGGGGAATGTGCAGGTAAGGTGGCCTTCAGGGGTTTGAGCACCTGTCAGCACATCTGCGATAGAGTTACCAGCCTCCTGACCAGGGAACCAAGTCTGGACAAGACCCTGGATCTTTTCCAACCAGGGCATAGCAATAGCGACGCCAGTCGAGTTGACGACAATGGTGTTGGGATTGACCTCAGAAACCTTGGCGATCAGGCGGTCCTGACTACCGTCCTTGGGCAGGTTAAAGCTGACTTGGTCCTGGCCCTCAGTCTCCCAGAATGGCTCGTGACCAGTGAAGACAATGGCATAGTCGGCGTCCTTAGCCACGTCGATAGCTTCCGAGAGGAGGTCATAGTCATGCTCCGCCTCGGACATATATCCTACTCGCAGACCAACTCGTCCCTCCAAGATACCAAGATCAAGATCCTCTCCGTCCTTGGTAGCAGGGGGTGAAGTGTGCATAGCGAGCTTGTACTTGCGTCCCGCCTCCAAGGAGACCTTGAACTCGGGAGGGTTATCACCGCCGAACAGGAAACCCATCGCATCCTTGGAGTTCTCCTTCTGCTCGAAGACGACCTTGTCGTCGATGATAAGCTTACTCGGTCCCAGACCAGAGGCGGTAAAGTAGTACTTGGCGGTCTCCTGGGCTGTGAAGGTACCCTCGAGGGTGACATCCTTGTTGCTAAAACCAAAGCTGCTTAAAACGGAAACTTCAGAGTCGGGATGAGCAGGCTTGACTTCGATAGGCTCAGGGTTGCCAGGTTCGAAGATCTTGAAAGTAAAACCGGGGTTGCCGTCCAAGTCGACAACGTTCTCGGCGATAGGGGGAAGCATACGGAATGTGTGAGCTCCTATGGCACTGTTAGCTATCATTACCAAGAATTTCGCTTCTGGATATGCTTACCCTTAGCATAAGAGAACTCTGCACTGTCACCGAGAGCTTCGTGAAGAGCATCCCAAGGAGTGACCTTGTAGTGAGCGTTGACAGACGCACTACCGCCACCATGAGCGAGACCAATCTTGGCGTGGCCTAGCAGAGCAATCTTCTTGCCCTTGACCTTGTCTTTCGACAAAGGAAGAACATTGTCTTGGTTCTTCAGCAGAACGATACCCTTGGATCCAGCTTCTCGAATAAGAGCTTGATGCTTGGGGTTGTTGATAGCCTTCTCGTCAGGAATGCTGGGGTCCTTGAAGCAGTTGAGACGCTCGAGAAACTGGAGCACACGCTTTGCACGCTCGTCGATGGTCTCCTCGGAACTCTTGCCAGCCTTGATAGCTGCGATGACATCCTCGGTCTTCCTCCAACGGGTAGGACCAGGCATCTCGAGATCGAGACCAGCTTCGAGAGACTCAGCGGTAGAGTTGACACCACCCCAGTCGCTCATAACGAGGCCATCCCATCCCCAGTCGCCTCGGAGGACTTTCTTGAGCAGGAACTCGTTGGAGTCGGCATGGTGTCCGTTGACCTGATTGTAAGAAGTCATCACAGCCCAGGGGTTGGCCTCCTTGATTGTAATCTCAAATGGTCGGAGGTAAAGTTCTCGCAAGGTCCTCTCACTAATGGTTTCATCAACAGTCAAGCGCTCTGTCTCCTGCTCGTTAGCAGCAAAGTGCTTGATGGTAGCTGAAACGCCCTTTTCCTGGAGACCCTCCACAACTCTGGCGGCCATCTTGCCAGTCAGGAAAGGATCCTCTGAGAACGACTCAAAGTTGCGACCGCCTAGGGGATGACGATGAAGGCACATGGTAGGTGCAAGAAGACAACGGGCGCCCTTGGAGTGTGTTTCCTCAGCTAGGGCAGTGCCGATCCTCTTGGCAAGGTTGACATCGAAGGTTGAAGCCATCAAACAAGCGGCAGGGAAGCAAGCAGCTGATGTTCCACCAGCAAAGGCAGCTCCTCGAGCGCCATTGGGGCCATCTGAGACCTTGACATGAGGAACGCCCTTGGAGGAAATGGGGACTGTCTCCCAAAGGTCCTTTCCAGCGAGGAGCGAGATCTGTAGTAAAGTGATTAGTTAGTTGAACGAAGAATGTCAATGATAGGGTGTAAGTGAAACGTACCTTCTCCTCAAGAGTGAGGGAAGAGAGGATGGACTGGATATCAACAGACGCCATGTTGATAGTGAGAAGTCAATTGACTGAAGAGGAGTGAAGGAGAGTCACATCTTGTGAAACGAGGAGAAGGCAGCTCTTTAATAGCACAACAGCCAACCCCTCAACGCCATGACGACTTCCCCAGGATAGTGAACTCGCATGTACATGACCCGAGTGATCCGTCGTTCAACCGAAGAATGGACACTCATGTGGCCATTGAGTACCCGCTTTACGTGCATCTGCGTAGGATGCCGTGTTGTGCCATTGGATCGCGGCCAAGGTGGTTCCTTGGTTTAGTGGTGAGTCTATTGATGCTAGTGGTACCGATCCGAGGCTATTCCGATGATCAGACGGAGCTTTCCCAGTGAATAGCCTTGAAAGTCTCGAGATGGTCTAGTTAAATATGGCTTTTTCTCGTAAATAGAGTTCTGGAGCCGTTTGATTAGCCGTTGCCTGTTTGTCTAAGCTTGGAATGACTTTGAGTTGCACTCTAAAGTTGTTTCTTGAGCATAGAAGTACAATACAAGGTGAGGCCAGTGAGTGTCACCCATCGGCTAAATAGAAGTGTCCCGTCCTTCCAGAGTTTCAGTGGAGAACGTCGGCTCCTCGCTCCTAAGTTCCGGGAGGGTCGCTAATAGTTAACCGATAATGATAGAAAGTACACTTGCATGCAATGTTTCTATATAATGAAACAAACATCTTAAAGTCGGTCAGAACTTAGTGTAAATGTCGGAAAACTACCCCAATTAAGTTCAGTCACGTATTTCAGTCTGTGGTTGTTATTGCAAGGCCTCAGTCTGGCCTGTGTCTTTGTTGGACCCCCAACTGGAGCATCACCTGGGGCCCCTGAGCGATCGCCATTGACAGCTGCAGAGTTGGAGCACTAGGAATAGCGCCATTAGATGTACATCACATCACCATGAAGCAACAGGAGACACTCAAATTGTCCGGTATAAAGAGAGACCAACAAGTCCCTATTCATACCTGAAGAGGAAACAAAGGAGGTTATTGACGTTTCTTATTCACAACCCTTGCTTCATCCCTTGGTAAAACAAACAAATATGCCCCTTGAAACCATCAGCCGAGGATTATGCGCCTCCAAGAAAAGAACAGGTCAAACAAACTCAAAACATGTGAGTCTGCGTCTACTCCAACTCAACTTACCTAACTAGAACAGTGACGCAAACAAAAATAGCACACGCCAGAGACACAACACACACATTGACCTCCATGTAATCGTGTCCTCTCCCGCGATGCCATTGTCAACAAAACAGCAATTATAGGGAAACCAGGTAGTTACGGTCAAAAGATGAGCTCCCACTTAGAGGCGCCCCGAGGTATTACACTTCATGATTTTTTAGTTAAGCCCCTTTACTGACAGTTTTTAGGGGAGTCGTGGGCTTCAATTCCAACAGATTTGATTCTCGCCGAGTTGAAGCGTCGCAAAGATGATGGCGAGAAACCAGAATGCGGTTCGAGAACAAAGGGCTCTTATGATACTTCGGCGCATGTATTTGCATTGATCCTTATCTTGACACTGAGCACGTTAGGTAGGGTTGTTCAATTGGGAGCTTTGAGACGGTACTGATATCTTTACAGCATGCGCATTCCCTCTTTTCTCGCGACGAACGATGCGCGGACGGGGCCAGAAAACCGTGATATTCTACTGCCAGCACATTGGAACCGGTGTCCTTCTGGCGACGGCCTTCGTCCACCTCCTCCCGACCGCTTTCGAGTCCATGACCGACCCATGCCTCCCCGATTTCTTTAGCAAAGGATATACGCCGTTTCCAGGTTTTGTGGCTATGATCTCTGCTATCATTGTCGTCGGCATCGAATCGTACCTTACGGCCCGAGGAGCTGGTCACTCTCACTCCCACAATCATGGATATTTTGACTCGGACGATGAACACGAGAGTGAGCTGCCCATGATGGATGCAGCTGGACTGTCTGAAAGGAGGCACGGACCGCGGCCGCCGGATATTCATCTTGAGAACATGGAGAGTCAGGGGCTAGTTGCCGGCGTGTCGCCTCTCCCCGGATCTTCACCACTAGTGGGACAGGAGGGTAAGAAGCTTGACGATGATTTTAACGATGACGACTCGGATCTTGACTTGGATATGGAAGAGCTTGAGCCAGCTGGATCAAGCAGCACGAGACACCGACATGGACCTTATGCGTCGCTCAAGCCTGAGGGAGTTGGGGCTGAGGAGGAGCCAATGACACCCATGACGCCAATGTCTCCCGGACCACAGAACCCCGAAGAGCAACAAAGAAAACTACTACAATGCCTTTTGCTTGAGGCCGGAATTCTCTTTCACAGTGTCTTCATCGGCATGGCCATCTCCGTCGCTACCGGCCCGGCCTTTGTAGTCTTCCTAGTCGCTATCAGCTTCCACCAAACCTTCGAAGGCCTCGCCCTTGGCAGTCGCATCGCCGCAATTCAGTTCCCCCGCAAATCTCTCCGTCCATGGCTCATGGTTCTCGCCTACGGAACCACAACACCAATCGGCCAGGCAATTGGTCTTATCGTACATCGCATGTACGACCCCAAGAGCGCAGGAGGTCTGCTCGTGGTTGGCTTCATGAACGCCGTGTCATCGGGGCTGCTTCTGTATGCTGGCCTTGTGCAACTGTTGGCGGAGGACTTTTTGGCAGAGAAGAGTTACAAGATTTTGAAGGGCAAGAGGAGGTTACAGGCTTACATGGCTGTTTGTGCCGGTGCGCTCTTGATGGCTGCCGTTGGAGCATTTGCCTAGGGGGAGTTACGGGACTTTAAAAGAACTGATGTACATAGAATGTAAAATTGGTGGCATCTTGTCAATGGCGTCTTTCAGGGTGGGCAATGGAGTTTTGAATGTAACGCGCAGCGATACAGTTATTGATAATGTTAGTCGTTTTTCGTTTGCCTACTCTTGTACTCTTCAGAGTGATACTACGCTGGACATGTAGGACACTCACACTTCATGAGACGCCATGATATCTTCTTTCCGAGGACTTGCATCATGAACAACCCCGGCCGGCCCCACACCAAAAGTCCGAACTCCCGGGGTCCGGCCTTCGAAATGGTCCATCTGCTACCCCCTTGGTCCCCCTTTGCTCCAGGGTCTTTCGTGTTTCACCCAATAACAAATCTCCTTTTAATCAGCTCCCACCCACACCCGCATGAGCTCCCATGACATGACGAGCTATCGAACCATCAAGAAGTGAGCCCAGAAGCTGAATCTTGAGTGGCTGTTTCACTCTCAAGTCGGACAAACGTGTCCCTCGTTGTACCTGTTCTGTCGCATGTATCTCCCCTCCCTCTCCTCTCCTCTCTTCTCGTGTCCTTCATCATGCCTGGCCAACGTATCCTCCTCTTTATTGTAGCTCAAGCTTTTTTTGCTGGACTTGCTGTGTTTATCGCCAATTCGCCGTATCTTAATATGTCCGCCTCACCGACTGGTAGCCAGCCATGGGCTGATGGGCCTATGAAGCTGGTGACAACACCACAGTATGAGACTAAGAAGGTTAGTCAATTGAACTCAAGTGCTTTGGAGTGTAATTGACAATACTGACTTATTCAATCTGGTAGACCGATCTCTTCACCACAGGCGCCACTCACATGGCGCTTTTGCACAATGCCATTATTCGTGGCTTCAATTCCATCTACCTCCAAGCTCCTCATGTGAAGGACGCCGACAAGGCCGACTTCATTGGATATTCTCAGACTTGGTTCAAGTTTGTCAAATCGCACCACGATGATGAGGAGGACAACCTCTTCCCCAAGGTCCAAGAGCTTCTCGGCGACGAGCCAGTTTGGGACGAGACCCATCATGAGCATGGTAAGAACCCTAATTCTCAGTTAGTAGTACCTTGTCACTAACACGGAGGCCTCAGAGTCATTCCTTGCGCCCCTCGCCGAGTTCAACACATATCTCTCTAACCTCGCCTCACCCACTGATCTCGATGGCGCTGAAGTCATCAAGCTTATGGATGCCTTCAAGGAGCCCTTCGAGCATCACTTCCACAGCGAAATCTCTACCATCGCCGCTCTTTCGAACCACCCCAAGGCTCCCAAGGAAGACACCCCTGAAGGCGCTGCCGCCGGCCTGACCTTCAAGACGTGGGGCAAGAAGACAGTCACAAAGGCTGGCGTACTCGATGTTGTGCCTTTCTTCCTCCTCAACTTAGACCGAACTGCCGAGGAGGGTATGTGGGCTAACTGGCCCCCAATGCCTGCGCCTATCTCCTGGGGTCTGACAAATATCGCGGGTTCGTGGTACGGAAAGTGGTGGAAGTTTTCGAGCTGTGATTCGCAGGGCAAGCCTCAGGAGCTCTATGCTCTTCGGGGTCTGAAGCAGTGATTAGGAAGTTGGGTTCTTTCAGTCGGGCTTGGATGAAAGGTTGCGTGTGTTATTCTTTGGCGTTGCTTGGTAAGTGAAAGGATGAAAACTGTAGCTTTGTTAGTTGAAGAAATTCAATGGATCGGTACCAACTATCTTCACCTTTCCCTTCCGAGAGGTGAACGTCTTCCGCATTGCGATTCTTGGTTTTGTATAGGTTCGTAGAAAGGATCAAACGGCGTTTCTTTGAAGTTGTACACTTATATGGTAAAGTCGCGGTCACACTACATCGGGTAGAGGAATGAATAAAGACCTGACTTGCAAACATGTTAGTACCTCAAAAGCCATATTGCAGAAACGACTTTTGAAAGAAACCATGCATAAATCCAAGCCTTCTGATGAGTCGCAGAATGACTACAAAACCTAGGTTTCAGCACAGCGACAACTCTTGTTCCTCATCTCATCACCCTTGTGGACATCTACCAGAATCTTGATTCTTGAAGACGATGTAAGTGAGGAATCAGACTCATAGGCTCACCATCAGAGTCACGAGCCTTGCCATCACCACACTGCGAACATGAATCGTTCCATTTCTTCACTTCGAAGCCAGAAGGACGGCGGCAGGAGAAGTTCAAGCACGAGCTCGGACTCGGAAGTCTCTTGAACTTGCGACAGGGGCTCAGAGACGAGCCCTGCGAACTCTGAATCCAGCGAACTTCAAGACAACAGTTCGACGTATTCTGGCAATGGCACCGATAGTACCACGGTTCAAGTCGACTTTGATCACATAGGCGAGATCTCACCTCTCCAATCGCCTTTTTTTCCACGAATGGCCGAAGAGTGTCAGCGCCAACTCGAGGATGATGAACTGTTGAGCTATGCTCCGAGCTTCATACTCTCCTTGCTCTCTACATAGAGTAAGTCGCGGTGACTGGCCCTGGCTTGATTCCTGTTACTGAACTTTTCAAGGCCACTCCGTAGAACGCCTCTGATGGATGTGAGACGGAGAGCTGTAAGTGGAACTACCTAGTCAGCGGTTGAAACTCTATCAATTGCAGAGCTTATTGGACTTGCATGAAATACTGACAGTCTCCAGTCTAGTCTAGACTCCATCCGCGCTGTCTGTGGTAGTCCAAAAGGCCACTCCGAGCGTTTCTTGGAATTCGAGTCCAGCCACGAAAGCGAAGAAGCCTCCGAGACTCGTCCCTCCAGGTTTCCTAAGGCCTCTGAGGGATACACGGCCCAACTTGGGCTATGACTGAACCTCGTAGTGATGCCACATCGAGTCGTCGATCACTGTACCAGGCCGACTACGCCCTAATTATGATCCAGACGTGATGTTCCGACAGATCTGACCGGGCTCAGTGACTAGCCCCTGGATGACAGGGCAAAACTTGACATGGGATCGGCGTTGTATAGGAGGAGTTTTGATTTCTTTGGACGACGCTTCGACGTATACGGTTCGGGAGAAGGGCTTTTAGGTTTCTTTGGGCTCAAAGATAGATCGTGGGTATCGTATCGACGCGTTATGTCTTGCTTGGGTAGGAGTTTGATTTCTGGGGCAGATACGGTTAGCAAGGTTTTCAATCTCAGTATTGTGGAAGTCAACACAAGGTCCAAGGTCAAGGTCATGTCTTCCCACATAACTCTTCGGTCATAAATAGGTCGTCAGGATGTATCTGAGCACCGAGGACTCATGCTGTCCTGTTACTGTTGGCTTTAATCTCAGCTGTCCTGATTTCCCCTGTGGGTGGTAGTTTTGAAAATCCAAAATAGTTGAAGGCCCACTGTGCACAGTGGAAGGTCTGGGTCTTCAGTGCTTCCAGGTTTCGAAGCCCCTGAGGGGAATTACAACTCAGAATAGACGCCAGGCCGTGGCGGATCATAATCTTGGTCCAACAGCAACGCTTCTCATGACAGCGTACCCGAATATTCGATCACCGATATTCAATCTTGGCGGTTATACAACACTGAGTCAGAGAAAATGCCTCTATTTATGATAATACTGATCCAGTGGTTGTATTTGAACAGCTGTTGGCTGTTTATATGAGCTACTGCAGAAGAGAATATAAAGTCCTTAGCCAAGGGCCGCCAAACTTGATTCTTTTCAAGTCGATATTCCTTACGACTTTACACTTGCTTTCCAACTGACGAAATAGATACCAACGCCTCTCTCGACTAGGATCTCCATCAATCAGCATGGGATGTTGCTTTAGCCACCCGGAACCGCCACCGCGAAGGCGATGCCACGAGCATAGTCATGGGCATCGACATCGGTATAGACATTGCCATGGACACAGGCATGGACATGGGCATAGGCGTGGTCACCGCCACGGTCATAAACATAGTCATCGACGCCATCATCACCAGGAACCAAGTCCATCTGGGACAACTCTTGTGCCAGAACAAGGCGAGCCAGAAGCTGCCAATGAGCAATGATCGACGAAAATGGTGTTTCTTGTAGTTCCTAGCCGCTAATCGAAGCCATTGGCTCTTCCATGCTCATATCTCGTGATGTAGTATTTTCTCGTGTGTAGTTCGACGGTTGTACCTTCCTTGTAAGTGATGTCCCGTTAAGACAAATAGTGGAGCTGCTCGCGTCATGGACAAGTCCGAAGTCCGTAGTCTCTGTCGTGGTTGGTCAGTAAAGGGAGAGAAGTACCAGGGTCCTGAACTTAGCTGATATGTACCTTGGATACATGTCGTGTTTGTTGTCCCTTGCGTGTTTTATACAAACTTCCAACCTCCAACCCCAATCGTGATACTCGCAACCAACGCAATGGCTTCCAACCGTCATGTTCTTGTGCTCGGAGGCAATGGGAAGATCAGCAGGCTTCTCACGGTGATTCTGCTGAAGAAGTCCTGGACTGTGACGAGTCTGATCCGTAACCCTGACCAGATCGATGACCTGAAGAAGATCTCAGAGGGCTTGCCGGGAGACCACAAGATCCTGGTTCACGATCTCATCAAAGTTGATAGTCAGGAGAAGGCTGCCACCATTCTTGACGAAGTGAAGCCGGACTCTGTTGTCTTCAGCGCTGGTGGGTTGGATCTCCGTCCGGTAGCTGTGAGAAGCGTACGCTGATGAGTGAACAGGCCCTGGAAGAGGAACTGATCAAGACACGGTAGAAGGGCTCTTCCCGATCGTGACTTGTGGTGTGTAACTAATGTGTTTCTAGATCATCCGCATCGATCGTGATGCGGCAATCTTCTTCATCAAGGCCTCGGTCGCCAACAAGTCCATCAGTCATCATATCCAGGTCTCCTACTTGGGCGCTCGACGCGAGCAAGCTCCCTGGTGGACTGCCGAGGACTGGGAAGGCTGGAAGAAGGTCAACTCAACTTTCCTTGGTCCTTACTATGAGCCCAAGACCGCCGCCGATGAAGCTCTCGTCACTGAAGCTCTCGTCACTGAAGCCAGGAAGAGAGACGGCTTGACCGCTGTATCGGTCCGCCCTGGCGGTCTCACCGACAAGGATGAAGGGGGAGTGCTCTTGGGACAGACCAAGCAAGCCAGAGGCATGACCACTCGAGCATCAACCGCGAGAGTCATGGCCTTGGTGTTGGAGAAGGAGGGCGTGAAGGGACACTGGTTGGATGTTCTCGACGGCGAGGAAGATGCAGCGACTGCAGTCGATCGTTACGTTCGTGATGAGACTGAATGTGCTGAAGGAGAGCCAGTCCTGAAGAACTAATACTGTATTCGAGGATCATCGGGCATCACGACCTCCCAAGGCCCAGACAGCACTTGGTGCCATCCCTGTGCCCACCCCTACCCACCATGGCACGCGAGTCTCCCATCCATAAGGGGTCTAGTCAGGTACCCGGCCTCAAAACCTCGAGGAGTCCCACTGTTTGTGCGGGCCGTTAGGGGACCATCTAGCAGAACGTGCGCTGGAATTCCCGAAAAGGGGAAAATAGCTTCATGGAACTGCAACATGGTTTTTTGATATTCACAACTCTGATATAAAAGATAGAACCACGAAACTCGATAAGAAGTTTGGCATCATATGGATGTAACTTGTCCATTTTTTTCAAAGCGTGCATCGCAAAGTTGGGCTCAGGATCAGTGAGTGCGTAGCTGAGCTTCCCACACTCCCCCCTTTGATATCAGGAATAGAACTGCCGTACTGCTGCACCAGAAACTGATGGCCCTGAAGCTCGAAAGAGCCCACTGAACTTGCAATCACTCGCTAGATCTTTTGGCTATAAAAACCCAACCTTTCTCCCCCGCAGACTTGTTTTCTCTTCTTCAGGTCAACATCACTTGCTCGCTCGCGACCACATCACAAACGCACAACCATTCCTCCTTCAACCTAGAGTCACTTTGCTCTCACAGTTACATTTGCTCTTCTTCCAAGGTATGTCTCCCTTCTCTTTGTGTTGTTTCCCTTCGGGTCACTTCACTTCACGCTCCTTTGTCTCCCCTTCCAGCATCTCACATTTGCCCTCAGCATTCCCTCTGTGTCCTGAATCGCATTCATCATGGGCAAAGTCGCCAAGATCAAGTTTAAGGTACGCAAGTTTTTTGCGAAGATCAAGGTCCGTCGCCTCCTGCCAAAGGATGCCGCCGCTACTACCGCTGCCGCCAGCGT